TCCTGCGCTTGTGTCGGGTTCCAAACAATGTCATGAGGGTCGCTTCTTTGCACCTTCTTTGTAAGTGTTGAACCTGCCCGTGGATGTCTGCCGTATTCCAAAAAGAATGGTGTCTCCTTGGTGCCCTCATGTGCTGCATTGTTGTAGGCAAACTCAGCAGAGCTAAGTAGCCTTGACCAGTCGTCGAGTTGATAGTCGATGTAACAGTGAAGATATTGCTCCAGAACTTGGTTGACTCTTTCAGTCTGGCCATCAGTCTGTGGGTGGTACGTGGTGGACATGGTGGACTCTATCCCTAGTAGCTTACACCATTCCTGGAACAGTGTAGCTGCAAACTGAACACCTCGGTCGGATATAATCTGGGATGGTAAGCCGTGAAGCGGATACACCCGATTGTATAGCAATTCTGCTAGATCCTTTGCTGAGAACTCGTTTGTTATTGGGTAGAAGTGAGCCCGCTTTGTCAATCGATCCATGACTACGCAAATGGCATCATAACCATCTGATTCTGGGAGCTGAGTGATGAGGTCGACAGTCATAACTTCCCATGGCCCTTCCGGGACACGGTTGGGTTGCAATGGTCCATACGGCTGCTGCGGACGATTCTTCATCCGTTGACAAATGTCGCAGCCGGTCACATACTTCTTGACAAATACCGACATGCTAGGCCACCAATAGTTGTGTGAGACGAGTTCATATGTCTTCCACCTTCCGCGATGTCCAGCTGAAGGAAGATCATGATGCATTTGAACTATACACCTGCGCAAGTGGTCCTGCTCGCTGTTGGGGATATATACTTTGCCGCAATAAAGCAACAATCCATTCTCATAGTTCCAGTCCACAAGGGACTTGCCGAATTCTCTAGGACCTGACTTCAGCAATTGCTGATAGTTCTTGGTCACATCGTCATGTAGGAGTGCTTCCTTCACTTCCCTCAGGAGTTGATCGTCATTAACGGGCGACTCATGGGAGGCCTCGACTGCATTGATTGCAAAAAACTCCGGTTTCAACAAAGTTTGATCCCGATTATTGAGGTTCACCCCCTCCTCATGGTCTGGCCTCCTGGACAGAGGGTCGGCGGTAAGCATTGTTTTTCCTGGCTTATGGTGCAAAATGAAATTGAATCGCGTGAGGTACAGAGCTCATCTCGCTTGTCTCCTGGTCAACTTCTG